CAGTAATATAAGCTGTGGAATTATTATTTCTCAGTGACAAAATCTCAGCAGACAATTTATTTTCATAAAAATACAATTCACTGACAAAATTAAAACACATGCATTCATTCTCTAATGGCACTGGAAGAGAAAATAATGGAGATAATAATTTTCTTTCAAGGGATGTAATATTTTACATCCATGATTCATTTTTCTGTTCCAGAGGGAGACAAAAGTCAACTACACATTCTTCTCAGAGACTCAAATCGTCATGCAATAAGTGGATGTGATATATGCATGAAAATACATTTTCACAACTGCAAATCCATGGAGCAGCTCTGTTACCTCCCTGAATGATACAGCCCAGTGTCATCTTCTAACTTAGATCAGACTTCGTGGCTTGGACAGTCTGAAATATTCCTAAATATGAAGCACCAGAAATCCAAGTTAGTACGTACTTCGGGAGCAATCACAAAACATAACAAAAACCTCCAAAATTTTCAGGGTTACTTAGTTGTTTTACAGTTACTGGAATGCAGCGGGAAGAAAATTTAAATATTTGGGCAATTTACAATCTGTTTCCTGTTGGATCTCTTTCATCTAAATGTGCCACATCTGTGCTATTGATAAATTAATCAGCCTTCATGAGCATTGTTACAAGTTCTGTTTAATGAGTTAATAATTGTCTATTTCCAAGTGCAAAGACTTAATCAATTTTTATTAATATGATACAATGATTATAATAGATTCATGCCTGTGCAACTCTTAGACAGAGTGACCAGCCTCATTTTGCCTTCCTACTCACATATTTCTATCAGGTAGCAATTAACCTTTACTAACTGCTTTATTAAAACCAAACACTTAGTAGTGAGAGTGCATTTAAAGTGAAGATATTTTTCCTGAACTTCTTTCTATTTTGTAAAACTTTTCAATTAAACTCTTTTTTATGCAGCCTTTCAGTCACAAAGGACAACAATGCTGTAAAGAATAATAAAAGATGTGCTAGGAAGACAATGTTGAATGCAAATAGAAAAACTGCCAATTACTGATTAAATAAGAGTTTTAACTGAAATTAGGACTGAGGTTGATTTCTGTGGTGGATTGACCTTTGCTGGCTCCCAAGTGCTCTTTCATTTCCACAGGAAGGACAGGTAAGGAAAATAAAACAAAAGTAAGGTGGAGACCGAGAAATTACTTATCAACTGCCTTTACAGGCAAAACAATTAATTGTAACAGAGTAGATAGTCAGAAACGAAAAAAAAAAAAAATAAAAAACTCAACCAAACAAAAAAACCACAAATATAAACGACAACAACCTCAAAAAAACACCCCCTCCCTCACAAAAAAATTTAAAAGACACCCCCACACTCCAAAAAGCCACTCCACATTCAAACTCCTCTACCCCTCTGTACCCAGAAACCTGAAAACTCTCCTTATGAAAACCCAGAAGATGGTTTCACATGCACTTCTTGTGCCTGTGTGCGAATTCATCTCCTTCAGTTTATGACCCCATTAACCGATTTCATTTTCACTGGGATTTTACAACTGCATATTACAAATGCATTAGCGGGGTTTAATTTTCACTAACTGGCAGTGTAAAAGCCTTTTCTTAATATAGGTATTTGCTACTTACTTATATTTGTAGGTTTGTGTATTTCTTTTTTTTAAGTGTTTTGATTAGCTGTATAAACCAGGAAGTATTTAATTGAACAAATTCTATTGCAAAAGAAAGCACTGAGAAGGTTATTACTGTTCTGTTTCAAAGCCACATTGAGGATGTTAACACCCTGGCATACTGCCTACATCTCAGGAATTCATGACTTTTAAAAACAGGTATTTGGCGTCAGAGTGGGAGGATGAACACTTATGACACAGAACTGTGATTATCTGAAAAGTTCATGCATTTTTTTCAGGTAAACTAAACCCATCTTTCATCCAGTGGAAGCACCAATGAAAAACATCAGGTTACTGCACCCCCTCCTCGATGTTCAGCTCCATCCTAAGGAGCAGAAGTGTTCCTGAATAATGAATAATGAAAAATATGCCCTTTCCAAGTGAACATCCTGTTGGGCTGGGACGTGCTGTGCTGTGCAACAGGTTGTTTAGTGTTATCACCACCAATTGGATTCTTTAAAACAAAACAAAACAAAACAAAAAAATCCTGGAGGAGTTAAGAGTCTTTTCTATTGTGAATTCATTTGGTAATAAGGTGAAGAAGGCATGACGACCTCAGTTGCTTTAATTAAATGTCCACCATGAAATAAATATTCTCCATCTGTTTGACTTGCTCATTGGGGCAGGAAAAACGGAATGGATTTCACAAACAAATTAGGTGACATTTTCTGAAATCTGTGCACCCTATCCGTGCAGCCAGTAAAGGGTAAACAGGTATTGTCATGAGGAATCTCAAGCAAAGTCACTCACAGCTATAAAAGTACAGAACCATCCACTGGAGGAGGGAGGAAGTAATTTCCTACAATTTATTCAACTTGGTTTTAAAAACACTGCACATTTTGTTTTCATCGACATGAAATGTGCTTGCTACAAACTTGGCAGGACTCTGTTTTCTCAGAATAAAGCTTCTACAGTCAGAGATGGATCCTCTGAGCCTTATTTGAACCTACAGTGATGAGGCTCCAGTCACAAAAAACTGCAGTAACACAGCAGAGAGCAGCTGAAGACTGACAAAAACCAGGATTGTTTTCTGTTCAACTTGATTAAATGATTTCTGAATCTACTTGGAGGTGGTATTTTGAAAGTTATATACTCAATCAAAGGGTGTTTTTTAAGCTTTCTCTGTCAGCTTAGTTGGTTTTGGCAAAGGGAAAACTGAAGGTATGCAAAAAAAGACATACGGAAACCATGAGTGAAATTAGCATTTAACCAAGAACTTCTCTGTTCTTTGCCAGGGCCTTGCCTACCATCCCTACTATGCCTGAAGTGAGAAAACAAAATGTATTTTACAGCTGAGCCTGCATTAAAGATGGGGATGGGAAGATATGTCTCAATACCGAATATTCATTTAGGAAATCCAGATATGGGATTGTGAATTAACTGGCTCTTTTTTTCTTTTTTCTTTTTTTTTTTTTTTGAGTAAACTCTACTGTTACCTGATTTATCTTATTGGGCCTACTTCTGGATATTTTATGAAGTGCCCAAATGAATTATTCTTCTGACGGTAAACTGAAAGTTGTGGTGGCTCTTTATTGGTTTTTGCTCAGTGCCATGTACAGGTTATGCTGACATGTAGAACTCTTTCATCTGAATTACTGGAGGATTACATTATCCCTGTTCCACAGTTCCCCTTTACTTCAGCCCAGGAACTCCCTGTAACCTAGTGAAAGCCCACAGATACGATTTAATTGCAAATAAGATGAAAACCAGCTTTTTTGCAGAACAGGATGTGACCAGTGCTATGCATCATTAAATGCAATGGGAAATGATGTAAGAACGGCACAGAAAGCAGCACCCTATAATTTATCTAATTTTCACTGGTTTTCTTGAATAATTCTGAAGCACTGCAACAGGAATGTCCTGGGGGACCAAAAAGGAAAAGGAGCTTTAACTGATCTTGTTCTTTCTTCACATTTGTGCCTTTTCTTCTTCTAAGTAAAGACAATACAAAATTTAAGTCCAGGAGTGAAATTTTTAAGGAGCCATCCAAAGGTGTAGGGTTTTCAAAGGCCCGACTGGATAACTGATAATGAGGATGGCTAATTGATAATGAGAAGCAGCTTCCATTGATTTTCATTGCAGTTAAATGTCCAAGCACTGAAAATCCAATTAGACCTCAACAGGGATTTTAAATGAGGCACTGATGGTTTGCAGTCCTCAGGTAAGATGGTCTAAAATGCATAAAGGAAAAACAGTGCCCATGCATGGGCCCGTTAATGGTGGGAGTGAAAAACTGCACCTCTTAAATTTTTTGGGTGTTCAGGGCCACAACACCAAGACCATAAATGCCTAGCTGTGATATATCTCTTCTCAGGAAAATCACAGCTATGTTTGCTTTCCTGAAGTCAAGATGTTTCCAGTAGGAGTGATTTATCAAATGTGCTGTTCCATTTCTGTTAAAATGTACCCATCCAGCAGCTGGTATGTGATGAAGTATTATCAGGCATCTGTTTGGATTTGTACTTTTTTTCTCGATCAGTAATTAGTAATACCTCAAGCACTGGTATTACCATACAATAATACCGTCAGCTTAAAGCCTGTTAGTTCCCAGATGTCCTTGAGTAGGGGATGCTAAGTGCTCTTTGTTCTACTAAGGAAGAACCACAGAACGATTGGGGCTGGAAGGGATCTCTGGAGCTCATGCAGTCCAAGCCCCTGCTCAGTCTGGGTCACAGGTGATACAGGAACAAATCCAGGTGGGTTTGGGGTGCTTACAGACGGGGATTCTCCACATCCTTCCTGGGAAGCCGTCCCAGGGCTCTGCTCCTCCACAGAAAGAAGTACTTCCTCCTGCTGGGGTGGAATTTGTTATGTTTTAGTTTATGACCACTGCTTCTCAATCCTGTCATTGGGCACCACTGAATAGTCTGGCACCAACCACTCGCGAACCGCCCTGGGGATATCTATACGCATTAGTGAATTCCTTCACAGCCTTGTCTTCCCCACACCTTTATTTACTACACCCCTAAAGCTTGCTAGCTCCAGGATGTCCCTGACTACGGGAATGCATTTGCTGTCTGTGCCACTAGCGACAATGAACCTCCTTTTTCATCAGGCTTGGAAGCACAGAGAGATTTCACCTTAAAGAACTTAAGGCAAACACGCCACAGCGCTTGTGCCGAGTACGGCAGGGTCCCAGGAGCCGCCTGGGGCACGCTGTAATGCCGATAACACGCGGCTTATTCCCATCAAGAAGGACTTCCAGGAGGAAGAGCCGGGAAGGAGGAGGCGCAGGCGGGCCGGCCCCGCGGCCTGCCCGCCCCTCAGCATGCGCTGCCCTCATAACGGCCGCCCCGGACGGACGCGCTGTCCCGCCCCGCCTGCCCGCTCCGCCCTTCCGCCGGGATATGGCGCAGGAGCTGCGGGGCATGGACGGCGACGTGGAGGATGGCGAGCTGTCCGGCTCCGACTCGGACATGCCCGGCGTCGGCTCCCCCGGAGAGGTGAGGGCCGGCAGCGGCAGGAGCGCCGGGCCGGGCAGCGCCGGGCTGGGGGGCTGCGGGACGGGCAGGCCGCGGAGGCCGCGCCTGAGGGGCTTTTCCCAGCTCGGGGCTCTCGTTCCCGAGCCGGTGGCTTCTCCCGGGGCCAGTAGCTCGTGCTGGGGCTGTTGTCCCGTCCCTGCTGCCGTGACTGTCCCTGTGTTGGCACCGCCGGGGCCTCCCCGGGGAGCCGGGGCCGCGCCGGGCGCGTGGCGCGCGCGGGAACAATGGGGACAGTGGCGACCAAGGGGGCGAGCCCTGGGCCACCGCCAGAGAGCCCCGAGCCCTGCCATCCCTGGGAGCCCGCGGCTCTCCGTGCCGGTACAGAGATGCCAGTGCGGTCCTCGTGTCTCCCTGTGTCTCGTTATGGCACCCGCTCCTGCCACCAGCCCGGAGTCCCCAGCACAGCAAGGAGCTGGAGCTGCTGGAGAGAGCCCAGAGGAGGCTCCAGGAGGAGCAGAGCACGGAGCAGCTCTGCTGGGAGGAAAGGCTGGCAGAGCTAGGATTGTTCGGCCTGGGCAGGAGAAGTTTTGGGGTGACCTCAGTGTGGCCTTGCAGGGCCTGGAGGAGCTGCAGGAAAGATGGAGAGAGACAATTGCCAAGGGCTGGAGGGACAGGACACGGGGAATGGCTTCCCACTGCCAGAGGGCAGGGCTGGATGGGATTTTGGGAGCTAGGAATTGTTCCCTGTGAGGCTGGGCAGGCCCTGGCACAGGGTGCCCAGAGCAGCTGTGGCTGCCCCTGGATCCCTGGCAGTGTCCAAGGCCAGGTTGGACATTGGGGCTGGGAGCAGCCTGAGACAGTGCAAGGAGTCCCTGCCATGGCAGGGGTGACACTGAATGGTCTTCAAGGTCCCTTCCAGCCCAAACCATTCTGTGATTCTCAGAGGATATGAGGAATTTATTCTTTATTTATTTTGTACGGAGAGTATGAAGTATTCACGGTGGTGTACAGAACAGGAAAATATTTCAAACTACGATCAATGTGTGACACTGTATGCATAACGAATTTTATTTTCTCCAGTTATTTTGATCTTTGTGATACAGTTCTGAGAAATGAAGTGCAAAAATAAGTTTTTTATAGAAATGTTCAGTCTTTTTATTTATGCTGATTTGGGATTTTTGCATTACATTTGAAGTTAAAGGTTTGTATTTCATAACCTGGTAAGTTGAATACTTCTCTTTTCTGTTTGCTGTTTGGAGAAAGAAGAAATGGCACCCGTGTTGATGAAAGCAGTAAAGCTAAATAAAGAATTTTCATTTCACCTAAAAGTGAAGTAAGAGATCTTATTTTGAAAGATCATGGGACAGCATATAACTTTACGATAAGAAATCAGTCAGGGAATTACTGGAATTCTTGAGTAAATGTATCTCAGTGGAATGATTTTTTGGTGAGGGGTGTTTGTTCTAATTCATAAGCCGTAGTTAATCCATGGTGTCTTGTTGGTTTAAAGGAGGAGAAATGGGTGCTTCTGTAAGGGTTCTGCTGTCCCTAAGTTGGTCATGACCTGACTGAGCTGGGATCACAGAACACTCTTAGTCTGAGCACTGTCCCAGTTTTGTGGGTTTGGTTTTTTATTTTTGGTCATTTGGTCTTATCACTTGAAACTCCAGAGAGATTAACTTCTCTGCTGTTTGACAAACCTCTGGTATTGTTCTGGTATTTCACTGCTCTTAGAGTTGCTTGTGTATCTTGTCTTTGTCCAGTTTGTACATATTCACCACTCTGCCAGTCCTGTAATAATTTTTGCTCAGCAAAGTCTGCCTTAAGGACAGAGGTAAGTCCTGAAGTGTTTCTATGTCAGCCATGCTCTATTTCATGTTCATGCACTCAAAATACAGGAGTTTCAAAGATGCTGTGGCCCAAGAGATGCTTGTGGGGGGCTGCACGGCCATGAGGGTCAGAATTACCTATTTTAGCTAATCGATGACTTGATAGTTCTTCTGATTTTCATGAATAATGGGTTTGGATTCACTTTTTAATTGCAGAAGCTGCACGCTAGCAGTGATTCCTGCAGGCCCTTCCAGAGCAGCCTCTCATCCTGTGCTCCCAGCGTTCCTTACAGGACCACCAAGAGCTTGGACTCCAGCGAGGACAGCGCCTCCGACTCCGATGACGACAGCTGCCTGTGGAAGAGAAAGAGGCAGAAGTGCTTCAACGTCTCCCCTGCCAAACCCGAGCCCTTCCAGGTCAGCCAGAGCCACCAAAAACAGACTGCTCTGCGTGGCAAGAAGGTCAACAACATCTGGGGCGCGGTGCTCCAGGAGCAGAACCAGGACGCAGTGGCGACTGAGCTTGGGATTCTCGGCATGGACGGTTCAATTGACAGGAGCAGGCAGTCTGAGACTTACAACTACCTGCTGGCTAAAAAGCTGATGAAGGAAGCCCAGCAGAAGGAGGCAGAGACTTTGGATAAGGAGCTGGATGAATACATGCACGATGACAAGAAGACGCTGGCAGCAGAGGAGGAGAACGGGCAGGGCTTCCTCAAACGGAAGCGGCCCGTGAGAGACAGGCTGGGAGAAAGGCAAGAGATGAAATATAAGGGAAGGTATGAGATAACAGAGGAAGATTCGGAGGAAAAAGTGGCAGATGAAATTGCTTATCGGTGAGTTTAACAATGGTGCATCTTCACTAAGTATTGGTTGATGGAAAGAAGAGAGGGAGATAAGCTCCCCTGCTGCTTAAATAAGGTGTCACACCAGATCACAAAGAGCAATTCCAAAATCCTGGGATAGAAGTCCATCACTGTGGCTGGTGGTCTGGTGGAAACATCCTATTAATACTGCCTGTTTCTGTGAATTTTTATATTTTTATTTAAAAAGTCACCAGGATGGTTTGCTATTTGAGAAGAGTGGCAAGGAAAAATACTGCTTCTCATTATACAGATTTAGTAGTGCCTTTTTTGGGGAAATACCCCATGTTTGTTTGGGCTTTGACAGCAATGCACACGTGCTGTGGGCACCACAAAAATCTGTTTTAAGTTCTAATCCTTTGAAACTGTAGACAGCTTGGACAGTGCAGTGTTTTGGATGGAGTCAAACTGCCACACTCCTCTTCCAATGGTGCAAGGGAAGAAAATTATGTTAAATAGGGAACAAGACTTAGAAGATTTACTGACAGTTAGCTTGACATTTAAATAAAACCTGTGTTTATTGGTCATAGTTGTTTTTATACATGTAGTATTACTTCAGAGTCTGGCAATACTATAGCAATTAGTTTTTACTGCTGTTGCTAGTTCTGGGTAGTTGCTCATTTTTTAATCTGAAAACTTAGAGCATATTTCTTGCAATAAACTCCTTTTTGTTGTATAGAGCTTCACTGAAATAGGGCAGAAGCCTCTTCTAATTGTAGTAGCAGTGGCACTGAGCTGTATCAATAGGGTTATAGTGTAATTTTTTTGTTGTTTTGTTTGTTTTTTATAGATTATCAAAGATCAGTCGATAAACTGATTTCTTCTTTGTTATGGAGGTTTGACTGAAATTGCACATGATACAGGGGAACTTCTCTATTTCCTGTGTTCTGGAGTTGGTGATTTAACTGTAAAAAGTTAATTTTTACTGTTAAATGCACAAGAAACTTTTATACTTGGATTTCAGAGGTTTATGCGGGTCTTTGCAGTTTCGTATTAGGTTTGATATTTCACACATCAGTAGAAGAAAATAACCACTCAAGGCATTTTCATTGAAACAAGTTTCAAAAATGCATGCTTTAGGGAAAGAACATCCCTCAAAAGCTCAGTATTTGAAATCTAATTCAATAAACTATTTAAACACATTTGAAAACATAGACTCTTCAGCACAAAGTGAATTATTCATTGTGGAAGTTCCACAAATTATCCTGACAATAAATGTGCCTTTTTCCCCCCCCTTTCTGTTCAGACTTTGTGAGCCAAAGAAAGACTTAATTGCTCGAGTAGTGAAAATAATTGGGAAGAGAAAAGCCATCGAGCTGCTGATGGAAACAGCAGAAGTGGAGCAGAATGGTGGACTGTTCATCGTGGTAAGGAAAATGTCATCCTGTGGTTTGCCAGGGACAGGGAGGGCAACACAGCTTTTTACTGATAGAATATTCACAAAGTGCTGTTGGAAGTCTCTGGTGCTGGACGTGTTCTGCTGGAGTTTTATGGCCTTCCCTTGCCCTGAGACTCCCCTAATAAACACTCACATAACCTTCCAGTAGGATTTCAGCAAACAATAACGTGAATGAACCTGGAAATTACCCAGGTTCTTGTGCTGAGGTTGGTGTCTGATCTGCAGGGATAACCTTGTGTCTGTTACTGCTCTCCTTGGAATCTTTCGCCTCACAGACTTGAGACTGAAGGACTCCAGACTTGAGTAAAAGCCAGCATTTCCAATATACCATTTGCAGGGTAACTCCCAAAAGAAAAACTGTTGATTTATTAGGGAACCACTGGCTTGTCTATCAGCAGAGCAAAACTGTGCACTGATTTGTGTTACAAATTATGGTAAAAAGCCCTACACTCTTTGTGGTCAGGTTGTCAGTTTTTTTAAATGTTTTTGTTCTTGTTAAATAATGAGTCTCAGTGTAAAAGACACAGTGGGTAAGAAAAGCTGTGGGTGACGAAAAAGTGGGTGAAAACTAGGAAATATTTGATTACAATTTTTAAATTCCATCACTTGGAAGTAGAACAGAGGCAAAAAACAAGTAGGGGAACACAATCAAAAAAAACCCCACCAAAATAAATTAAAAAAAAAAAGCAAAACCACCACCTCCCTCTTTCAAAAAAGGAAAGGCAGCAAACTCCAGCTAGTTGGTTGTGTTAGAAGCATTCTGTTGTCTTGAAAGTTAAGTTCAGAAGTGTTTAACTTTTAACTTAAGAGGAGATGAAGGGACACAGCTCCCAGTGGCACACGTTGCTTTGGAAGCAGATACCAGAGTACACTCTTTGAAAGGCAGATCACGAAAGGCACCATGAAATGCAGGTGATAAAAAGATGTTAAAACCTGACCATCCCTGTTCTTGGAATTTTTAGATTATATGGTACATTATTTAGCAGGAAAGTATCACATTTTGCACCAGCATCATCCAGTTTTTACTAGAGTAAAAGTAGTGTTTTATACTGCTAATGTTAATTGAATACTAATATGATAATTAGCACTTGTAATTTACAGAGGTTTCAAAGCTGACCCCGTTCCATGCACTGCTTTTCCTGCACTAAAAACTGCTGGGTCTCGAACATGTGGTGGGGAGGAATTCTAAAGTACTGGTTGTGTTTCCTGTGCCTTCAACAGAAATGCAGAATCCTGTCAACAAAGCAGTAAAGTTGTAGCATCTGAGCACAATTACAAAAAAAACAAAATCTGAGATGAGCATAATTTTATTAAATTTGGTTTAGATATTTTACTGGGCTTATGCTCTGAGTGTTTAACCTAGTGCATAACTTGTTGCAGATAACGGTGAGAGTAGTTAGAATATTAATCACATTTTGTGTCTTCACTACCAAAATCAGGTTTAGTGTGTAGTTTTAACAATTTAATATTGTATTCTAAAGGAATTACTTTGTAACTGCATGATTTTCCTGTCCAGATTTAACGGGCTGCTTGTTGTCTTCATATGTCTAATTCAGTTATAAATAAGACACAGCCATGGTTATTTTCATATGGTATTTGACATACCAGAACTAAAATTGGCTTTATTCTGTCTCAACACTGAGTGTTGCCTTAAAGGCTATTTTTTGGTCAACACTCAGCATTAAGTTTGCTGTTCCCAATTTCCTCTCTCCCTATTAAGAATGGCACCAGGAGAAGAACACCTGGAGGTGTTTATTTAAACCTGCTGAAGAACACACCGAGCATCAAAGAAGAACAAATCAAGGTAAAAATGTCTGGAGTTCAAATGTGCATTCTCGTTTGGGTTTTTTCTTCCTACTAGAAATGTCAGGACTGAAACTCTCTTAACTTGTAACAAATGTAACTGCGTATTCCCTTGAAACCAGGCTTTCACATTCAAAAGACAGGCAAAAAATAAAAGACCTACTCAAAAATTGTTGTATTGCCATTAACTCTGAGCAGAGAGAACTGACTTTTGCATGTCGCCAGTCACAAAAACCTGTTGAGGCAGATGAGGTTGTAGAGTCTGGCAGAGGTAAATGTTAGTTTTTCCTAATTTGTATATTTGTATTCTTTACAGCTTAGCTGTCCATAGTGTGTTTCTTCCCTCGGAGCACTGTCATTGTGCATGGATTGAGTGCAGGTCTCTCAGTATAATATTTTTGTCCTGTATAGCTCCAGCTGTGGCACCAGCCAGAATCTCTCATTAAATCAGTTGATGGGCTGAACCTAATCTGAGTTGCTCACTGGGCTCACCTGTGATGCTCTCTAAATCATTTTTGTAAGCTTGTAAACATTATTTCTCTGAGATGTTTCAACTTAATGAAGAAAAAGTACCAACTTTTTTTTTTTGTGGCATATGCTACTTTTAGTAGAGTTTTTGTTAAGAGTTTCTATTTTGCTTGTGGCTATGGGCTTCTCTAAGCCCTTTTAGGGTCTGGTACTAGGAATTGAGAAAAAAGTCAACTTTGTGTCAACATTGTGATTCTTTGTTTGGAGAAAAAAAAAGAAACGGGAAAATAAAACCCCAGCATTCTTTCATAGCTTACGGTGGTCAGAAAAAAATTTCAAAAGTTGCAAGACTGATCACTTATCCTATTAGAAAATGAATTTTCTGTTCTACCCCTCTTCCTTAAGTGCAGTCTTTCCTCACGCTTCTGTTCTCAATAACAAGTAGCTTAATTAAATATTGACCAGTGTTTGTAATATACGTGGTTTTTTTCGTTCATATTCTTTTTAGGAAATACCAGTAAAATGAATATACAGAAAAATTTTTATTGTTGTTTACTTGTTTTCTTTCAAGGAAATATTCTATCTGGAAAACCAGAAGGAGTATGAAAACAAAAAAGCTGCCAAGAAGAGGAGGATACAAGTTCTGGGGAAGAAGATGAAAAAGGCCATCAAGGGGCTTAACCTGCAGGAGTATGATGATGCATCTCGTGAGACTTTTGCCAGTGACACAAACGAGGCTCTGGCTTCCCTGGATGACCTGCAGGAGGGGCACCACGAGGCAAAGATGGAACCTGAGGATACCATTGAAATTGATAATGCCCACGATTTGGAGATCTTTTAGTTATGATATTCTTGATAACAGAGTCTCTATAAAAACATGTTAAATAAGCCTTTCTTGTAATCCTGCGACTTCTCGTTTTCGACGTATGGGGAATACTTGATGCTGAAAAATAGGAGGTAATTCTTAGCTAAATTTAACAGCATGAAAGAGTTTTAATTGTCCTGTTACTTGTTTGCTGAGTCCTCAGAAACTGTCAACATTTTTCTAGATAACAGCCCTGCATCACTTTAGGAAGTGTTTTTAGTCAGGTGTTAAGGCTGTGTTTTAACCAAATAATTACCTTTTAATTTGCTGAAGCACACAAAGTCATCAGGTGAGCAATGCTCTTTACTACAGATGAACAGAAAAACAGTATGAATTTAGTCTTGATATAAAAGATCATATATTCTTAATGTGGCAGTGTATTGACAAAACCAGCAGTATTTATAGAATTAAGACCTGTTGATTTGTGAAATAATTTTAGTGGACCTTTGAATAAGAACCTTGTAAATAAGCAGTATTGAGCAATGTATGTTTCAGATTTCTGCAGTTTTATTCCTTGTATTCCAGTGGTGACTTGAGCTTCCTATCTGTTCTGTCTAAACATTTTCCATGATTAGACACACACCTAAGTTCCATGGATCTTTTTGTTTCCAGAGAAATATAACTGAAAGCTTTCAGAGTAGTGAGATTTTACTAAGCTGTGTTCCCTTCAAGGGTCTGTAGACTGTACATGCAGATATAAACCCTTTACCCTGCAGTTCTTGTTTCTGTCCTCTTCCTGTGTGCAGTGAGATAATGTGCAGCTTGCAGAAAATCTGGAGTTTTTCTGTGCTGACTCTCGCAGGGGATATTTTTTTTTAATTTACTTGATGCAGGAAACTGCTGTGTAGTTTGTTAGTTCAACCGAAATATATTTTTATGTTGAATATTGTTTTTAATATAGTTGAAGAACATGTGTAACACTGATGTCTAAAGTATTTTGTTACTAATAAGTTGTGGCATTTTTGTGACTAGACACTATTCAGCCCAACTTTTGTGCATAAATTTTGTTCACCTTCGGGTCCTTGAGTTTCAGAAGGAAAGTGTGTCAGTATAACACATAATCAGTTTATAGGATTGAACAATTCAGTACTACCAAGAGCTGGCATTTAAAGGATTGCAGCATTTGAAGAAACACTTCTTACACATAACAGCACATTCCATTACTTGCCTTACTAAACCTGGGTTTTGACTTTTCTGCTTTTTTTCTGTTCACATGAAACAAAGCTCCTAATTGTTAAAAAGTTACTCATCAGATGTGCAGCATGCCTTTGCTGTTAGTAGTTGCTCGTGCTGAAATAACAGAATTTCTAATTTTTTTCGTTAATTTTCCTGACCAGTGATGGTCACACTAAACCGATAACTCTTATAAGGGAAACAGAATTTTGTGCTGTTTAATTGCTTTGAGACTGTACCATTTCGCCCTGGTTTTTGGGACCTGCTTGGGGATATGTCTTAACTGTTTTCTGGATAGAATCAGCAAATTGCAACATTGTTTTAAGCAATTTTTTTATGTTATGTGATTTGCACTGTGTATTTTTTTAATGTTTATATTTCTAACCTCGATTTCCAGGGCAAGGAGTACTGAAATGGTGTGTAAAGTGTTGTCATTAACAAAAGGGTAATAGAGACATTAATCTATTGGAGAGGGCAGTGAGGATGGGGAGGGACTGAGGGCACTTGGTCTGTTCAGCTGGAGGAGAGGAGAGGGATGGGAGGCTCACTGGGGTCTTCAAAATCCTCCGGAGGGGAAGAGGAGGGGCAGGCACTGAGCTCTTCACTGGTGACCAGTGACAGGACTCCAGGGAACGGCCTGAAGCTGGCTCAGGGTGTTCCGGTTTGGATTGGCTATCGGGAAAAGGCTCTTACCCCAGAGGGTGGTTGGGCACTGGAACAGGTTCCCCAGGGCAGTGGTAACAGCACCAAACCCGACAGAGATGAGGGAGTTTTTGGACTGGACTGGATGATCGCTTCCAGCTAAGTAGATTTCATGGTTCAGTTTCCTCCCACTGTACAAGAGACCTTGTGGTTTTTCTGTATTTTCCTTGGCCAAAAGCCAGGCCAGTTTAAAACAATGAGTAGCTGAGTCTTTGCTCTTGGTCCCCCAGCAATCTCCTTGTGTTTGGTATCAAACATTAAGCAGCACCAGTTTCTGTGTCTACACCAGACAGACAAACACACCAGTCTGTCCTGGGCTGATCCTTGCACAAGGAGCAGCCCTGCCTGTCTTTTGTCTGGGAACAGATCTGTCTGTAGATTTTGTTCTGCTGTTCTGCAGACAAAAATGCAAGCAACACAGGTTGGAGGGAGTTAAGAGCTCTTCAAGTTTCTCTGATGAGCAGGTGTGGTTGAGGCATTATCTTGGCTGCAAAAAAAGATTCTCGACTGCTGGTACAAACATCGCCTTCCATCCCATGAACTATAGCAGCATAATGAGCCATCTCTGTTACACCTGAGGACCATGCTGAAAAAATGAGGGAAATGTGCTTTGGTCTGAAAAAACAAAGCTCATTTATAAACAAAGACCTTTTGCTACCTTGCATCTAAAATTTCAGCTGGAAAGCAGTGTTATTTTGGTACCACCGGAAAAGATAGTTTATTTAAGATTCAGTTTTACTGTGGATCTTGAAAGCATCATTTGAAGTACAATTGCAATTTTACAGATTCTTCTTCCCCTTCCAAGTAGATCATCTCATTAAGGTGTTCTTACGCCCTCTGGTCTTACTAACTGCTGTTTGCCAAAATTCTCAAGCAAGCGTGGAATGACACAGTTCAAGGTATAAAGGAGATGGGAAGAGGAAATGATTGTATTAAATATGGCATTTCTGCTACAGAGAGGATAAATTCCTTGCATTTTTTCAGAGTAAAGGGGAAGGGGTAGACTGAGTAATAAAGACAATTCTTGAGATTTTTTTTTTTTAATTCCGAGTTTTTATTAGTCATAAAACGTCAGTATGACAATGATCATTATTTATCCCCTTAACTTAGACCATCCTGTGACTCAGACAAGTGTGTCAGAGGCAATATTTTAAAAAAATGTTTATTTCAACGTACAGAGGAGAATTCATGACTCCAGTAAATAGCAGCTTTGGTGCCTCACTCCTCTTCCTAATTCTTACTGGTCAGCAACACCTCAGAGATCCAAGCCCTTTTCTGAACCGTTCTGGGGCTTCAATGGATCTGGGACTATCCATCCAGTCTTGGAGCTTTGGCATCACAGTTTGCTTAAGGGATTTGGGAATGTGGCAGAAACAATGAATGCACTTTCCTGGCACCACCTCTGGAAAACATGGCAGCAGCTGTGGCCTCTTGGTGATTTTGGACCTCATGCATGCCATCTTATTTGTGACCCTCCAGACCTAAGAAGTTCTTGCAGAACAAAACTATATTTAAAAATGACATATTTGAAGGTTTCTTGTCTCTCCATCTGCAGTGATGGTAGATCATGCCACTCTTTCAGAGCTGTGGGAGGAACACTCAGCTGTGATACATATAATATTGCCCAGCCAAATGCATTTCTAGAATCACAAACATCTGGACCTAAATACAGGCAAAAATAAGGAATGTGTATCTGAAGGGAGACTCTACACACAGTTTAACTATTCTAGACACCTTTCAGGTTGTTGGGATTCTTATTTCTTTTTTTGCTTGGCCAGAAAGATTTATTTAATTATTTAAAGAAACAAACAAAAAACCCCAACAATTTTGTATCATTAAATACATACAGAAAAGAAGAATTTACTATCTTTAAAACTTTTCCCCAAACAGAATGTTTTATTTATAGAAAAGTTACTAGTGATTCAATGTATCAGCATTCTTGCTTAAGACATAATCCCTTTGAAAGGTATTCTCATTTTCCTGCAGAAGTTGCACTTTTCTAATTAGCCATCTGAATTTTTCATTCATTCTGTCAAGGATTAATGGTGTTTGGGTTTTGGTTTTTTGCCCCAGATAGTACAGCTATTTACAGTAATTATTTTACATTTGGTTTAGTTACCACAGATGAGTTTTGTACTGGCACCTTTTCAGCCGCTGGGATGTCTCTATTCAACATACAGAACTGGGGGAAATAGATCGTGGAAAACGATTCTGTCTTGGTGCATCAGGAAAGACCTTGCCATGGAGCTGAAAGAAATCCCTCCAAACAAAAAAAAAAGCCTTGAGAAATTTTAGTTGCTGATATCCTCACACATTCCCATTTCCAGATGTTGGGCAATTGTGATTGCTTTTCCATTTGAAAAACTCATGAGCTGCTTCTTCCTCTTAGAAAACAAACTGGAACAGAATAGTATGTAATGTTTAAATGGCATACAGAACAAATCTTTGTGTAGACTATTTTCTTCATCATGAAAAGTAATTTTAAAACGCCACCAATTTGACGTAATGTTGACACACTTCCCTTGGTAAAGAATATGACAACCTAAAATACTTAAGGTTTTGGTGGAAAATCAGAATGTCTGTGTAGATGTACAGGAGCTACGTAGCAGCCCAATCTTCTTGTTTTTCCCTAAGTAGTCTCAAATCTAAAAAAAAAAGTTGCATTTATATTTACTTAGGAAAATACATTAAATATATCTTGCACCTTGTTAGTGCTCCATGAAGAACTTCTGTCATGGTGGATAAAGATCTATGGTTGGCACAACCTTCTTTTCTACAGAAGTTGCTACTAATACTGAGTCTATTTCCATGCTTTAAGAACAGGTTGCACCTTCTGTCTGCTTTTATTTGTTTTTTTATTTTAATGGTATTCCTCTGACCTGTTTTCTGCAAACTCACTAATTTCTTACCTTACACAATGTAAGGCACTGAAGATGAGTTTCTGTGCCAGAACATCCTCAATACCTCTCAAAAGACTGGAACTTTTTGCAGGCTTGGATGCCCAGATTTACACAAAAGACTGCAGATGAATTCCTGAGCACCACAGCTGGGAAGTGCAATAATCTGCAGCTTGAAGAATGATGGAATTACAGATCAGCGTGCCAAGCAAGCAGGTAAAGAAGGGTCTTCAGGATTCCCTAACCAGGAGATATATTTTCCTGGGTTCTGCCTGCCCTGACTGACTGCCTGGGCTATCAGGAACACTCTGCACAGCAGAAAGCTCTGGCAGTGATCTCCAGGAGTTTCCTGTAGATAGATCCAAAAGCATTTATGGGATAAGCTCCATGCTAAGGCCCTGGCCCCTCAGGACACCACTTCCTTGCCTCCCTCCCTTCCTCCCTGCTGCAGGTTTGTTTGCTTTCTTTACAAATGTAAAGAGGGAGTGAGACATAAACCTGCTGCAATTTTCTCTGCACAGCAACCCCGTAGAGAATGGAGGGGTGTGTGAGACAACCCACAAAGCAATTCTAAGAGTCATCTCAGCAGTTATATGAAGAGTTGAACAGGTAAGATTAAAGCAGGAATGAAAGAGGTTGTTCATGTAATTGATACATCACTCTGCTGCTACCTACAAAATCATAGTCCCTTCCCAAGAGATAGCCAAGAGGGAAATCAGTAGGTTCCTACAGCAAGCCCTTGAAAAAGTGCAGAATTAGA